GTGTGTGTGTGTGTGTGTGTGTGTGTGTGTGTGTGTGTGTGTAGGGGAATAATAATTTCATAAATTTAGAGGTGGAAGGGACCTTGGAGGTCATTAAGTCCAACACCATTATCTTACAATGAGGAGACTGAGACCCAAGGTTGTTGAGTGACTTGCCCCAGTGAAGCATAGCTAATAAGTATATTAGGCAGGATTTTAACTCCGTTCTTCTTTACTGTGTAGCACTCTACCCACTGCACTACCTAGCTGAGGGTGGATAGTACGTGTCCTAGGACCAAAATGAGTATGGGAGTTGAGGATGGTGGTGTGGACAGGAAGGAATGGGAAAGATATTGCTGGTTCCCAGGCATAAGGCATCCAGCTATGAGGTGTTAACTCTTTGCTATCTTTCATCTTTTAGACCTGCTTCCGGCCAAGAATGGGGAAGAGCAAACTGTACAGTTCCTTTTGGAGGTGGTGGATATCCTCCTCAACTATGTTCGGAAGACATTTGACAGATCCACCAAGGTGCTGGACTTCCACCACCCACACCAGCTACTAGAAGGAATGGAGGGCTTCAACCTAGAGCTATCTGACCAACCTGAGTCCTTGGAGCAGATCCTTGTGGACTGCAGAGATACTCTGAAGTATGGCGTTCGGACAGGTAGAGTCCCAGGCAGGCAGCTACGTGGAGATTAAACTCTATCCTCCACACTCTAGTCTCTTTCTCACCCCACCTCCATCCTCACATGTACACATAGCTCTAAAGAAGGACTGGCAAGATCAAGTTACCTCAGTGGCAATTAGCTCCATGCCAGGTGGCCTGTGGGAATGACATGAACTGTCAGAATCATGGGGAGGGAGTAAATTCTTCTGGAGGTTCTGCCTGGCGATCTGGTATCATGAATTTTTTCCTAGTCTGCTTGGGAGAAATCAACTGATTCTAGCTACTGTTTAAACAACAACACAAAAACTTAAGTATTTATTTATATTTTAGTTAATTTTAATTTTTATTCTGAATGTATTTAAACAGGATGGCTGTTTTCACATACATAGTAGAAAGTAAAAAGAAGATGGTACATGACAATGCAGGTCTCTATTGTATATAGCTTGCTTTTCTTTTAAAGTATACGATAAAATCAACTTGTTGCTTTCAAAACTATCATACTTATATTGCCTTCTTTCTGACCTTTCTTCTGATCTTTTCCTTCTTTAAAGAAAAACGTGTCTCAATAACTCTTTTCTCTCCTTTTTTCTTCTCTTACCCTAACCCTATCCCCCCCTTCCTTCCACTCATTCTCCAATGGGGATAAAGGAAAAGAAAAACAAAGCCCTTTCAATTTACATATGTATGTACATACATACATATATATGTATGTATATATAGCCAAGCAAACAAATTTCCCACATTATGTGCATCTAAAAATGTGTATCTCATTCTGCATCTTAAGTCCATCATCTTTGTCAAAAATCAGGTAGCAAGTTAAGCATCTACTTGTACTTGCAATGCATTAAACAGATAGGAGCCTGATTCTTCTTGTTTCTTTTTTCTCTGTGGTTTCATCCCCATTTCTATTGACTCCTCCTCTTCCTGTTGCTGTCACGGGGTAGAACTCGGAGTCCTGCTTATTTTTTTTTCTGTTACCCAATTTGTGAAATCAAACTCATCAAGCCTCCTTATTTTCTCTGCAAAAAACCTATGTGCTCTCAGCCAAAAATCTCTCTAAGCTAAAGGTCCCAGAAGCAACCCGGAGACAATGCAGCCAAAGCAACCAAAGACAATGCAGAAGTTGGAGGTATTGGCTCATTACTATTGTTCTTCGTGAGCATAACCCAGCCAGCTCGTATCAAAAGTCAATGGTCTTGTGGCTCACAGGGCATATGGAAGAGAAATGTGCATCCATCCAGAGAGCAAGGGAAAATAAAATGAATATCTGACTAGATAGATATCTGGAGACCCAGCCTTGCACTGGACATTCTTTGTGAGTCTCTCATTAATCAAAGAGTAACTTTTTAAAAATAAGTTTTATCATTTTCAATGAACAGAAACTCACTCTCTCACTTTCTCTCCCATCTCATTTCCCTCACTGAAAAAGATAAACAAAACAAAACAAACCCGAATAACAAAATGAATACTCAAAGAAGCCCCTACATTGGCCAAGTCTAAAAGGCATATTCTTCATTCAAGCATCTCGAGTACATGTCCTCTCTATTAGGAGATGGGTAGCATGTTTCCTCCTCATCAGTCCTTTGGAATCATAGCTGGTTTTTGCATTCATCAGAGTTCTTAAATCTTTCCAGTGTTATTATATAAATTGTTCTGTTTCTGCTCACTTCACTCTGTATAAATTCATGTGAGTTGAAGTTAAATTTCCTGGTGCTATCTGATTAGCTGAATTCATCTACAATGCCAAAAAGGAGAGGCTTTGCTTATACAGGTTCCCCAAATATCCACATTCCAGGTGCCAGGAGGAGGAGGAGGCAGAAGTTGGAGAGTTGCCCAGCGTTGTCAACAGCACCTCCTCCATTCCTAATTGCCACCTCTGGTTAAATGAGGCAGTTTGGTCAGTACAGTCTTTCTTACAGACCTCTCTGGCCTTTACAATTTACCTGAGGCATTCAAAAGCTGTGGAGTATACTCTTCTCTCAGTGCCCAGTTCTTTGCTTGAACACAGTGCCCTGTCTTGGGACACCCCTCATTCCAGAAGAACCACTGGGTCATTGTTTTGGTGTCCTCTAGCATCCTAGACTTTCTTTGACTTTTTTTCCTTCTGCTGCCTGACTTTGAGCCATTTCACTTTAAGGTAGTATTTCTGCCACATCTTACCTTCACTAAAAACAAGAAAATGTTAAATCTTTTGGGGAGGGAGTGGAGACTAGGTCTCCTGAACTCAAGTGATCAACCAGCTTCCCTCTCCCCAGCTACAGGGACAACAGGCATGGGCCACCACAGCTACTTACGATAAAAACTCTAGTAAAGGTTTAATGAAACCTTTGGCTTTCATTGACTAAAGTGAAGTTTGAAGATAACTGGTGGATTTAATGTACACATGTTCTTCCCTCCTTCCCCACCCTCCACCCCTTTAAAATTGATTGAAGTGTGACTTTTTGGCCATTCAGAGTTTTATATTTATTTGGCTTTTTGTTCCATATTGACTGTTTCTGAAAATATTGGTTTTTTTATTTTGATTTAAATTTATTTTCAAGTAGACTTTTTATTCCTTTTTTTCAATTCCAAATTCTCTCTCTCCCTCAGCCACTCCCTCATTGAGAAGGCAAGAAAAACCAGACCTATTACAGACATATGTATAGTCATACAAATTTCCCCATTAGCCACTGAAAAATTTCTAGAGGGTGTCAAGATACACTTGAAGTTCAGTTGATGATTTGGTTATCCACTTTGATACAAATGGTGACTGGTAATTTTTCAAAGGGGTGTACCTTCTATGATTCTTCATTATCTAAATATGATTTTGTACTTGGATAGGCAAAGGGTCACCTGATGGGTAGTGATACTTGAGTGAGATCACTCTGCAGTTCATGGGACATTTGCCCTAGACAATCTAGAGTTGTCTAAATGAACTTTTAGAATCTGGTCCTGCGGTGATAGCTAGCTTAATTAGATGGATTCCTTTATTAAAATCTTTAATACATCACATGAATTTCAAGGAAACTATTGGGTACAGAAGGTTATGATTTAAGAAATGCTGCCAGGGTGAGCCCAGATGACTAGGTGTGTGTCTAAATGAGTGAATGACATGTTCAAGGATATGTCTGTATTACAGTGGAATCAGCCCAGACATTCAAGTATATCATTTTACATTTATACTATTTTCCATTGCCAAATAAAATTTTATTTTTTAAACTGGATCTGTAATTTCATGGGTATAGAGAGCTACATACTAATGAGAACCTTCTACTACTTGTGCAGAATTATACCTTCTCTGAAGCTTACAGTCAGAGGGTTGCCTAGAGATCTGAGAAGTGAAGTGACTTTCCTAAGGACACACAATCAAGGCACTTGAACCCAGATCCTCCTTCTGAGGCCAGCTCTCTATGCACTATCTAGCTGAAATAGTCTTCTCTTTGTCTCTCAAGGGAAGTTCTCTATTTTCCAACCAACTAATCAATAAACATTTATGAAGCACCTACTGTGTGACAGGCCCTGTGCTAAATGCTGGGGATACAAAAAGAAGCAAAAGACAATCCCTGCCCTCAAGGAGCTTACAATCTAAAGGAGGGGGTGAAACATGTAAACAAAGCAAGCTATATGGAGCATAAATAGGAAATAATTAACTTAGGAAACGCTTGGTGACTGAATGAATGACAGCAGAGCAGGTCAGTACCTACTGCTGTGGAATTCAGTATAAGAGATCCTCGGGGACTGATTACATCCATTTCATAATTTCATCAACTTTCAATATCTTTGCCACCATTCTTTTCCTCCCTATGAATGCTAAATTGACCAAGGCAATGGCTGTATAAAGGGTTTTAGTATCAGGCATGTTAATAAAGGTATTATGAGAACAAAGGACTTTAGAGACTTTTATGAATAGTAATTTTTCACAACAGTATTTAAGTCATTGGACTTTTATTATTGTCTCTATTTATCATCTCCATTATTTGTCCCCATTATTATTGTCCCCATTTTCCAGATGAAGGATACTAAGGTTCTGTCTACACAGGACCTGAACATAGGCCAACTTGAGTGAAAAGTTGAGTAAAATCTATCATTTGGCATCTTGATTTGGTTTTTGACAGAACTGACTGGCTTGATTGGATGACTTAGCTTCATAAGACACAGAGTCTAATTAACTGGTCCAAGGTCATGTTGCATGGTGGAAGCAGCAAAGCCAAGACTTTCCCCCAGGTCCCAGCACCATTCTCCCTCTCCAAGGGGTTCGCCTCCTGAATCAATCACAGGAGGGATTAGATTAGTCCAAAGCTGACTCACAGAATCTCATCTTGACCCAAGGGGCTTTGAAAGAGGTCACACTCTATTGAAATTGAAGGAGTAGTTTAAGTTCCCAAGGGTATTTCATCTTGTTTCTGCACTGGGAAATTAAACATGAGAAAGATTTGCAAACCAAAATCACCAGTTACAAGAAACAGAGTGATTGCCTTTATAATGCAGCAGGTTCTGTTTTATTTTAAAACTGCCCCAGTTTTGAAGCTGTTTTGTGGGATATCACTAAGCTTTGAGCTTGATTTCAGAGGGGACAACTATGCCCTTCCATTGTATGCCTTTTGGTGCCACTGTTCATGATGAAGTATAGGGGATGATATATCATGGGTCTGACCTCATTTGGCAATCCTTGTGTTCTTTTTTAAAATTATTTTTCAATTTCATTTTCAGTTCTGAATTTCCTCCCTCTATCCTTTCTCCCTCTCCCCCACTTGGCCAGAAAGAAAGAAAAAAAAATCCATTATAAATATATATAGTCATGCAAAACAAATTCCCTCATTAGCTGTGTCTGAAAAAAGAAAAAAAAAGGAATAAAAGAAAAAAAAAAAGAAAGAAGAAAAGAAAATATGCTTCAATCTGCACTCTGTGCCCATCAGCCCTCTCTCCAAGGGTAGAAATCCTCATGTTTCTGTGATATGCATCTGATATTCTTGTCTCACCAGGTCATCCTCGATTTTTCAACCAACTCTCTACTGGATTGGATATTATTGGCTTAGCTGGTGAGTGGCTGACATCAACTGCTAACACCAATATGTAAGTCCTATACCTTTTTTCCTCTTTTCTAATAAGCAATATTGATAGATTTTTACTGTTAATTTGTATTTTTAGAGACTAATCCCTATTAATTTATTATAAATTGGCAAAGATTGCTAGGGGAATTTCTACTCTAAGACCCTTTAAGCATATGATTTTAGTCATAGTCATGGATATAATAATACTAAATAATAATAGCTAGTATTTATGTAGCATTTTAAGGTTTGTACAACACTTCATATATGTTAACTCTTTAGATCCAGAGTTGGGATCTCAAAAAGTTATCTAGGTCAATTCTCTCAGTACATAGATGAAGAAACTGAGACCAAGAGAGAGAAGTCATTCATCCAAGGTCACAAAGCTAATAAATAGCAGAAATGGAATTTGACCCCAGATCCTCTAAATGTAGAGTCAATATCCTTTCAGCGCTGGGTATGCAGTAGGCCCTTGACTCTGTGACCCTGGGCAAGTCACTTAGACTCTCTCACCCTCATTTTCCTCATCTGTAAAATGGGGATAATAATATCTGTAAGTGGTATCTACCTCAAATGGTTGTTATAAGATCCAAATGAGATAATAGGTATAAAGCAGTTTGCAAACTGTAATGACTGTATAAATGTCAACTATCATTAGCATCATTATCACTCAGTAAACATTTTTTGAATTGAATTGAATTTATGTATCTCAGTAACAAGATGATGAAAAGAAATGGTGACTCTAGAGCTTATTATTTAAGTTGAAACTGTGGGAAAGTGCCCATATCATCAGAAGAGGGTGGTTAAAAAACCTTTCTTGCTCTCTAGAATAATTTTGATTCATTTTCCTATTGATAACCAAAGCCTTTGACCATTATGCTTAAAACTGGAGATCTTTCTACCTCAGATTCTTACCATACATTCCAAGCACTTTAGAAAAAAAAAACTCAATCAGTTGTTCAATTGAATCAAACTGATTGTGGAATATCTGATTGTTTAACTGCATGTTACTTTTCCCCCACACCTATTCATATTTGTAGGCACAGCCTTAAAATTGCTCTCTGTTCTTGTAAATTTGTAGAAAGCTCTAAATTTAATTTGTCTGATGAGCAATTATTACCTCCATGGCCATCCAGCAATGATCCACAAGTTTCTTCTCTATACATTTATCCTCTGTGCCAGCTGCATCAAATTTATAGAAATGGGACTATTAAACTGTACATTAAGGATCCCTGTGGGCTACATATTGTCTTAGAAGACTACATATTATAAAATTATCTATATTCTATTTTCTAAAACTTTGTTAAATATTTCTCAGTTTCATTTGATCAGATTTGGGAGTGAGTGATGAAGCCTACATGTTTGACACCTCTGCTCTATCAATCAGAAAAATTACAAATTAGCCTTCTTTTCTGGGTAGGGCTCGTAGCCAATGGAGCATTTTCCTTTTCTATCAATACCATAATAGTTCTGTGCCTCCAAAACAATGGTTACAACATTCACTAATGTATATTGGAAACAGTAACTAATAGTGAAGTGAGAATCATTTGGATTATCTGATGGGCTTAATTCTTGTTACGATTCTCAGAGTTTATATTTATAGTAAAGGATATTCAGAAAAACGAATTTAGGTAGAAAGGTTGTATGATTTAAAAAACAAAGTCCGGTTTGACATCAAGATGGAATGCAGATTACTCAAGCTTAAGATGTTTTGCTGTACTTCAAGACCAAATTACTACCATCCACAACACCCTAAGGCCATTTTGAAATTGTGTATTGATTTGCTTGTGTTTCAAAAGTGTAAAATTGTTGTGAGTCAAAATACTTACCAGTTACAGAAGACAAGTTTCTATTAATTAAACAAGTATTCTTAAATAGCTTGTTATTTTAAACTGGTATAGATATGAGAAAGTGTCTAAATACTAAAGTCTTCAGTGACATATGTCCTGAGTGATGACATTGGCCTGAAAAACGGAAAATGAAGCGAGCTTTAATTTGCCCCATCTGTGGGTAATGGTTAACATAATGAGGTTTAATCATGTGACTGATGAGGCATGCTATTCAGACACATGAAACTCAAGTTAAAGGTACATTGTTATTTTAATGTCATACAAAATTCTCCTTTTGTTGTCTTTGAATCTATTACTTTGTGATTCATTATATGATTATATAAAAGACAAAAACTGACTATAGTAATTAATAACTTTTAAAAATCATGGTGTATGCTGCCTACTTAAAGCATCAGTTACACTTAAAAAAACTAATTATTTCATTAGAAAGCTAAATATGAATTTGTTGTTGTTCAGTCATGTCGTACTCTTCACAATTCCATGGACTATCCCATCCATGGGGTTTTCCTGACAAAGATACTGGAGTGGTTTGCTATTTCCTTCTCTAGTGGATTAAGGCAAACAGAAGTTAAGCGACTTGCCCAGGGTCACACAGCCAGTAAATGTCTGAGGTCAGATTTGAACTCAGGTCTTTTTGACTCCAAGCCCAGTGCTCTATCCACTGAGCCACCAAGCTGCTTCCAAGAATATGAGTTACTAAAACTCAACTACTTAAAGAAATACTTTGATATCATCTTGTGGTCTGAAGGTGACCCTAGGTTCTAAAAGGGCATGCTAATGGAGTATAAGTTCTGACAGGTCCTACTAAGTTGGGAAGTCTTCCAAAATGGGCCTGACAAGTAGACTGTGCCTGTCATCTACCCAAAAACCAGCCAAGCTAAGTTTAGAGAACCACATAGCTGCAAGAATGGCCACCTGGCAAGGATTTGGGGGGCGGGGCACAGCAACTATATTGAGCATTCACTAAGGTGTGGAGGGATTACTATCTATATTGGTAGAGGGAGTACCCTTGTCCTTACTAATCTCAGATCTTTTGAAATATTCAAAGGGTTCAGGAACTACAGAAATCAGTGGGTAGTTGTCCATACAGCACAAGTGCCTTTTTTAATGCCATTGATGAATTCACTTGACCGTCCTTAAAGAACTACTGCCTATTTTGTCAACATTTTAACTGGGTTTTTTTTCCTAACACATCTGGCTAAAATGTCTAAGTAATTAACATTAGCATTCCTTTTTGAAAATTTATGACCCAAATACCTTCTTCAAATGCTTTTCCTTTAACCAGAAAATCACACAAATTTTCTTTTTTTTTTTTTGTCCCTGCTCATAAAATCAAAGTCCTTTTCTCCTCTTTCCTAATCTAAGTTGAACCATGAAATGTGAAAATATATTTCAGCCATTGAAGGTCAAAGCAAACCACTTTAATGGCACATGGTAATTGCAGCTGTACTGCAGAGTGGAGATTTTTAAAATATGATACGATTCCAACAGATCAATAGAGAAGGTTATTTAAAATAGTAAAATAGTTTCTGCCAGATCTCAAGACAAGGCATTGTCTAGAGAAGGGGTAATAACTATTGTCTAGAAATTGTTCTAAGCCAGTTCTATGGGAGGATCATGAAATGTGGCAGGAGAGCCAAGTTCTTTTGGGAGGAATTACCTTCCTGCTGACAGTCGTCTTTTCCATCTGGATGCAGTGTTTAAAATATTTCTGGGAAAAGATGGGAAAAAGGGTCAAGCTTTTCCAGGTAGGGTTTGCATCAATGATGCACTCATTACCTGAGCTACATTTTCATCTGGTAGGCAATTACTATGAAGAACAATGACCATATTCCATTATCCATGTAGGCTTATAAAGTGTACAACCCTATGACATCATTAAAATGGCCACCCATGACATTTCTGCATTGTTAGCACAGAAAGGATATCTTTTTATTTCAGTTTACTTCAGTTTATTTACCCCATCTATGTAAGCCCTCAGTTTCAGGATGCAGGTTTCTAAGCCAAGAGTCCAAAGCAAATCCATGAGGAATTTCAGACTAACAGGGTAGGGTTCCCTCCCCTCCAAGGGCATTTGGCTTTCCAGGACTGTTTTGTAACTTTGTTGTTGTTATTTAGTCATTTTTCCATCATGTCCCACTCCTTGTGACCCCATTTGGGGTTTTCTTGTCAAAGATACTAGAGTACCTTGCCATTTTCTTCTCCCATTCATTCTACAAATGACGAAACTGGGGCAAACAGGGTTAAGTGACTTGCCTAGGGTCACAATATCTGAGGCTGAATTTGAACTTGAATTTGAAATTGAACTCAGACCTAACTCCAGACCTAGCAATATATCCACTTCACCACCTAACTGCCCTTTGTATTTTTGTATCTGCCTACAAATACTTGATGACCATACTCAACCTTACTGAGAAGATCACTCATAACTACTGCACTATTTCACTAGGAATTCAGAGTGGCCAGGCCAATAATTTCATAGAAATTTCACTTGAGAAATTCTCTCTGCGAGCTGCCATGATGTTGTAGGCCTAGCTACATTTTGTCAGAAAAGTGCACATTATCAGTAGCTCTTATTACCTAGGAGAAACTACCCTGCAAAGGAAAACTGGGGAGGGTGGTCAACTCTGGTTTGGCCGAGACAGTAGAATAACAGGAGCCTCCTGCGTGTTTCTTCTTCATTCTGCTGCCCTATCCTTCCTACCCCTAGTGCTCTCTGATCTCTTCATTAATTTCCCCAAAGATAATGCTAAAATCTCAAAGTTTGAAGGGACCTCAGAAGTCATCTCGTCCTCCTATACAGTGATCTCCTCTGTGACACCCCAACAGATAGACCAAGCCTCCATACCCACATTGCCAATGATACTATTTTATACTCCATTCCGTGTGAGAAGCTCTAATTATTTGGAAGGTTTTCCTTAAACCCAGCCAAAATATGTCGCCTTATACCTTCCACTACAAGGTTCTAGTTCTTCCAACTGGAACCATACAGAAGAAGCTCACTCACTCTCCACATGACACCCTTTCAAATATTTGAAGGCATTGTCTTGCCTCCTTTTAGCCTCCTCTTCTCCAGGTTTAACAACCTCTGACCCTTCTAATGACATGGTTTTGAATCCTCACACTACCCTGTTCACCTTCTTTTGAAAATGTTCCAGCTTGTTATTTTTGTTCTTAAACTGTGGTAGCCAGAAGTGGACACCACAATACAGGTATGATCTGACCAGCTCTATTCCCTCCCCCCAAATCTGGACACTATATTCTAAATTTTATGAAGTGGTGAAAACTAGTGAGGAAGAAATTCCCTTAGGGCCCATTGCTCCTTGAATGAAATACAGTAGATGAGTCACCCTCCACCTTGATCCTAGGATGGGAAGGTCAGAGAAAGAACTACATATAATCTTTTGGTAGGAAAGCCACCCCAGATATTTGGGCCAGTACAGTAGAGTTTAGTCATCTTCCCCAGTGGGCATATAAAGAAACTCAGGCTATCCTCAGCATCATACTGATACGAATTACAGTCAGCTCATTTCTTGCTTTTGGGGCCCAGTTTCTTCCTCTGTCTCAGGTCCTGATTTCTTGTTCTCTGCTCCTCCCACCTTGTCCTCTTACAGTATAACTTGCTGCAGGATCCTAACTTGAATTCTGATCTCTTGATGTCTGTACTGGTTCCCACCTGTCCCTCAGGGGACCTCCTCTATCAGAAGCCAAGCAGGGTGAAGCCCTTCTAACCATATATGGTACCCTCTTATGGGGATATCAGAGCTGGCATCAGGGGCCAGAAGGTACAACATTGTCCTAGAGGGGAACTGGATTTGCCTGCCAGATACTGGGTAAGGGCAGAGCTGAGATCAGGAACAAAGGACAGAGAGCTAAACTGAGGAGGAAGTGTCCTATCAGGACAACATAAGAGTTTTCAAGCAGGTTGTAGCTAAAATCAAGAATTAGAAGGCATGGAATTAGACAGATCATATCATCAGAGTAAGATAGATAAACAACAAGCATTTATTAAGTTCCTACTGTATGTGGTATACTATGCTAAGCACTTAACAATTATTTTATTTTATCCTCACAGCTACCCTGGGTATTATCATTATCCCATTTTACAGGTGAAGAAATGAGGCAGAAAGAGGTTAAGTGACTTACCTATGGTCACACAGCTAATAAGTATCTAAGTCAGATTTGAACCGAGGTCTTCCTGACCCAAAGCCTGTAGGTGTTCTATCCATTGTAACCCTCAACTGGCTGTAAGACTTGGGTATTGGGAAGAAGCCACAGAGTAGGAGGCAGAATTGGTTGGTACCAGACTCTCTTGTTATTGAATTCTCTAAGCTTTCAGTTTTTTAATCAAGTTTCTTTCTTTTTTTCAAATGTCAAGCATTTTTTTTCTCCCTCCCATTTCTGCGTTGCAAAAAAACAAAAAAGAAAACCCTTCTAACCTTTCTATTACAGTCAAGTAGAACAAATTCCCATATTAGTCATTCCAAAAACCATGTGCCTCATTCTGCATATCCATCACCTTGATCTTTGGAGGTGGGTAGCCTTTTTCATCAGTGGTCCCCTGGACTTATGATTGATCACTCATTGATCAGAGTTTTTAAGTCTTTCAGAATTGTTCATTTTTACAGTGTTGATGTTATAGTATAAGTTGGTCTTCTACTTCCTAAACTCTGTTTCCAAATCCCAAGAGTGCTGGCTAACCACTGTGGTCTAAGGACAAGGGCAGGCCAGAAGTCAACATGAGCAAAACTCGATCCACTTGATTAAGCAAGTAGGACAGAAAGATCACCTGCTCAGGCAAAGCAGAGGCTAATTAGACCTGGTCTAAAGCCAGGCAAAAGGCAAAGGACAAAAGGCTGGACAAATCACGACATCCCATTCCTGTCCTTTCTCCCTTGTCCATCTGGTTCCTAGCTGATCATCTGACTTTGGCTTGGCTACTAATGCAATCTGTGGTCAAAGTTGACCAATCCTTGATAAGTTTCTGATCTCCTGGGTTTCTGACTCAGTTTGTTCCTGGCCTTACCACAGGTCAATTCTAACAAGCCTTCTTAAGAAGTTTCATGAGTATCTAGTGTACCCACTGTGGCCAGCTCAAGCAGTCATGCCAGCATCTCCACAGTGTTAAAACAGTTCATCTTCCCAATGGGTTTTTGGAAGCTCAGATACACCCTCTGCCAGCTCACTTGTTCGGTGATGTCACACATCATGAGTTTGCAACTTGGTACTTTAAATAGCACAGGCTAAACCAGGAACCCTTCTCTCTTCTTCTTCCTTTATGACAGCCAGTCTCCAGCATGCCATCAGACATAAGGGATTGTTGGTTGCCATGATGATGGGGCTCAGACAGGACCAAAGCATGATTGTGGCCCTCCAGAGGTGATGGTAATTAAAAAAAATGACAACCAAGTATTCTTCCTCCTAAATAGTTCAGTGTCATCCTAAGAGCGGTGAACAGATTCTTTTTGGTTAAAAAATTCTGCCACCAGCAGAAATGTCATGAGAACTCTCTGTGATAATTTTTCCCCACTTCTGTAACTGTCATTAAATTGATTGGTTTTTTTCTCCTACTCCTGGAAATGAGAATTGTTGCTTGCATCTTGTGTCTGAAAATGGTCTTTCCGACATTTAAAAAAAAATTGTTAAAACCAACAAAAATTCCACTTGGCCCACATTCTCATTGGCCCCACCCCTCACTAACTGACGTTGCAGCTTCCCCTTCCTAGGCAGGATTCACCTTCTCCTGCTCCCCACATCACAAGGCTAAGAGAACTCCGGCATCAACCTTCAGCTAATAATCAGAGCCTACCGCAAAGGCACAGATGTTCAAAGAGACTAAACGAAATGAATAGCAAAGAGCAAAAGAGCATTTTGAATATCTTTTAGGCCTGCTGCTTAATTTTCATCAGACCTACCTTGATTTTTTTTTTTTAGGCCCTGGACTCAGGGACATACACTTATTTTCCTAACTGGATCAAGGGGAGCTTTTGCCTCCCTTCAGGGATCACTTTGTAGTTCATAGCCTACTGCTTGAGATTCAGTTTGGCATAAGACAAGCCCCACATGCCAGGCCATCTGATGCCCTTTACCTAGAGTAGATAGAAATACCAGTTGACTGCCTTCTTGTTATTTGTAATTGGTAATTAGAAAACCATCCTTTATAATTACTCTTGACAGATATTGACTATATGGTACTGTTGAAACAAAATTGTCCTTGGGAATTATCAGTAGAAAAAAATCCACATAGATAATTGCACTTAGATTTTTAAAACCCACGCCAATGTTTCTAATCATTTTCACAGTTAGCTTTCTGATGCTCGTGATTTTTTTAAAACACCCTAGGATTTTTGGCATCAAAATTTCATATTATATAAGTATGAAATTGGCAGCAATTGAAAATTTTTCTTCACAATCTAATTTTATATAGAATTGTCAATGTATTTATAATGAAGATGTGCATTGTCATATAATCCTAGGCTAAAAGGGACCCAGAGAAGTTGCCTAGTCCATTCCCATGCCTGCAGGTAGCACCATATCCAACTATTCCAATAGGAATCTCTCTTACATTGTCAGCTGGCAGGTTTATCTAATTTTTTTCTCTTATAATTGTCCCTCCTTAGATTCAGTAGGAACATAAAAAATTTTCACAAAATGATTTGTGAATAAATCATAAATTTTCCTAAAGCTAATTTATTCTTCAGTCTTCCTGCCAACACACACACACACACACACCAAACACATATGTGATGAGATTTTTTTAAAAGCAAAAAAAAAAACCAAAACCCCATTGTATTTGCTGCATTTTTAAAATTTTTTTAGTTTTTTAGGCAAATGGGGTTAAGTGACTTGCCCAGAGTCACACAGCTAGTATGTGTCAAGTGTCTGGTCTGAGGCCAGATTTGAACTCAGGTCCTCCTGACGTTAGGGCCCGTGCTCTATCCACTGTGCCACCTAGCTGCCCCTATTTGCTGCATTCTTACAGAGGCTTTGTCTCTGCAATTTCTGAACCACTACTCAGTTCAGTCAAACTTCTGGTGAATCCAGTAGGGGAAAAAAATCAACAAAACAAATTTATTGATTGAATTGACTAGTCAATAAAATAGTAGCTCCATTAGTCTCTAGTAGTTCTGTGTAGGTTCAGACAGAGTTTTTAAAACAAGTACTGGTGTCCTGGAAAAGGTATGAGTGTTTAGTGTTTTCAGGTACTGTCTACACTGGCAGATTGAAGTGAAGAATTTTAATTATCTGGGAAATTCATCCTGATAATTAATTTAATGTTGTCTGACAGCTTATGACTGGTGACTTGTTCTACCTTCAATAAAGATATTTTATTAGAGATTTGGAAGATCTTTCTGAAGAAATACAACTTCCTCTAAGTGAGTTCCTGAAATTAGTGGTTTGTCCTTGTTATTCATCTTCTTTTTTCCTCACTATCTTTTAAGGTTTACATATGAAATTGCCCCAGTGTTTGTCCTCATGGAGCAAATAACGCTTAAGAAGATGAGAGAAATCATTGGATGGTCAAGTAAAGAGGGTGATGGCATATTTTCACCTGGTAGGTTTATTTTTCTTTGTCTCATTAAAGCCACAATGTTTAGAGTTCTGTTCCTTGGATTGGGTGAGGACATTGGACAAAACGCATCCAAAGGGTTTGTGGAAGAGTATTGAAATTTTCCTGAAGTTTTTCAGTTCTCCAGACCTCTTCCTTTGAGAGATGCCCATCTATATAATGCCTAACCAACTGATCAGTTTAATCAGTTAAGTCAAACTACTGGTCAATTCAGGGGGAAAAGATCAAGCGAGTTTAATGAATATTGGATTTTTGTCCAAAATGGTAGATCTGATAGTCTTAAGTAAACACAAAATGATTCTTTAAAACAAGCACAAGTGTTCTTAGGGAGTAAGTTATGAGTTTACTGTGCCGTGGTTTGGGTGGGGTTTATATATGATGTCCCAAAAGTCTTATTGCAGTTGTCAATTTATACATTTAAATCGCAGTTGTAGATTGTAAATTTTAAAAATTGCGTTTGCAAAGTAAAATATACACTTTGAAGAATACACAACTATTCTGTTGCAAACATCTAATTAATTTAGACAGATAATTAATGAACCTGTAATATCCAGATAGTCGAAATAAGAAAAAAAGAGATGGGTTTTTGTCTAAATTAACTATATGATTGCCTCAGTTTCTGGTTTCATTTTCTGTGTAGATTCAGGTTCTGTTTTCATCTAAGTTTTCTAAAATCACTTAGTTTCAAACAAAAATATAAATGATTCATTTGAGTGCTCTTTGAGGAGACAAGGCATTTATCAAGCTCCTACTGTGTTCAAGGTATTGTGCCTAGTACTGGAGATACAATGACAAATTGTCTCTTCCCTCAAGGAGCTTCCATTGTAATGGCAAGTAGTCAGGGGACTGAAAATTCAGGAGGCAAGAACTTTGAGGAAGTTCCTTTATTTGCTTTCTCTCTGACTTCAAGTCTCTAATCTTTCTGTGCTTCAGTTTCTGCATCTATAGAATGATGATAATAATAGTTATTACTGCACAGGTTGTTGGAAAGCTTAAGTAGTGTTTTGCCATGGAAACAACCTCAGCCTATCATAGTGCCTGACATATAATATGTGCTCAATAAAGTATTGATTGACTTACTGATTGAGTCATTGATCTATGAATCAATCTCAGACTGAAAACAGGAAGATTCTACTCCTTGACTACTACTGCCATCACTCCCTCTTCCACTTCTGCTCAGCTTGAGAAAGGTAGGCCACTGTGGAAGAACCAAGAGCCAATTTGTAAGATTGAATCTATGATGAAGTTCTATGATGAAGACTTCTACCCCTCATACAGATGGGAGGACAGAAGCTGGGACCATAGTGGCCACAATAAAGGAGCTGAAGTAACTAGGGGATAGCCCAGAACATCCCAATCCACCGAGATGTCATTCCTTCCCACTCTTACTTCCCTTTATCTTGAAACTCAAGCATTGACTTTGTTGTCAGGGGAAATAGTAAGCACAATGACAGATCCCCCTCACCATATGTCTTGTTTGGTTATAGGGGGTGCCATATCCAATATGTACAGCATCATGGCTGCTCGATATAAGTACTTCCCAGAAGTCAAAACCAAAGGCATGGCAGCTGTTCCCAAACTGGTCCTGTTTACCTCAGAACACGTGAGTTGGAGCTGTTGCTCATGCACTATAGTCTATCCTGAAGGAATGCCTCCCTCATCAATACATGGCTCTTTTTTTTTGCAGAGTCATTATTCGATAAAGAAGGCGGGGGCTGCACTTGGCTTTGGAACGGACAATGTGATTCTGATAAAATGCAATGAAAGGTAGGAGAGGAGGGTGACTGCTAAATTTTTGGATGTATTAAATGTGTTCATCTGTTAAATTTGTTTTACTGTGCTTAAGGGCTGACTCGGTACAATGTGCCAAGCTGCTAACGAGCTGGTGAAAATATCCGATTAAATTACTTTCTCCTGCATCTGAAGCTCCTTCACATGCAGCCTTGTTGATGCTTCTTTAAAAAAAATCTATCTCCTTCTGTTACAATTACAGGGGGAAAATCATCCCAGCTGATTTGGAGGCAAAAATTCTTGAAGTCAAGAAAAAGGTGCGTGTGGTAGAAAAGTCTGGACAAGAGTCAGAAGTCCTGAGTTTGAGACCAAGCCTGAATACTTACTTGGCCACATGTGACTGGAAGCAAGTCACTTATTCTCCCTAAGTCTCAGTTTCTCAACTGAAAAAAAAAAAAGGATAATAAAACCTATCTTATATTCCTACCTTATAGGTTTGTTATAAGGAAAAAATTTTGTAGTATGGTGTCATGGAAAGGGCACTGGACCTTAAATTAGAAGTCTTGGATTTGAATCTAAGCCCTGACTGAATGATCTTGGCCAAATCATCTAATTTTTGTGAGTCTCAGTTCCTTGTCTAGATAAATAGGTGTAAAGATAGATATTTAGATAGATGATAGATAGATAGATAGACAGATAGATAGATAATATCTGCATGACCTAACTCACAAGGTCATTGTGACAAAGGGGCTTTAAACTATAACGTGCTATGTAAATGTGAGTTGCGACATTGTAGCCATATAATACAGATAACTTCTAGTGTTTACATTTTTAAACCTACTTTTGCTCTGAAAATTAAAAGCCATTACTAAACTAAAAAATTATTTCATGAGAAATAGCATTCTGCAGTAGATGGTGAGATGGCTTCACAATCAGGGAAGACCTGGATTCAGGTCCCACTTCTGACACATAATGACAAAGTCCAATCTGTCAGTGTCCCCAGAGGACTCTTCAAGAGTATAAGTTGCCTAATAGGTGCTGAATTATACAGGTAGAGGGAGTTTTCCCACTGGAAGTACCATTCATCAATGAAGTCACAGGTTCAGACTCCCAAAATATCACTTAGTGTTACTTCTAACATTTTTTTCCTCCAGTTTTTGTTGATCTGATTCTCTAAAACTCTGTCTATACAGTGCCCATAAAAGCCAATTGAAAAGTGAAAAATTCAGCCCAAAATCAATTATTTTGTCTACATTATGCCAAATAATTCTGTATCTTTGTTCTTCCTTTCTTCTTTCTTTTTTTTTTCTTTCTTCCTTTTTTCCTTGTTTTTTTTCCTTCCTTTCTTTTTCTTTTTTCTTACTCAATTGACTGCTTGCTTTAGCATCCTGTAGACACAGCCTTATTTAACTTTTAACTTGCTTTTTATACTGGTACAATCTCAGTTTAACATTGGAGTCTGTTTAGCAAAGCTATTCTCCTGTTCTAGCTTATGGCACATAGTAACTAACTGGTCTTTGCTGATCCAATCTCAGCAAATTCTATTCAGTGAAAAATCTTATTGAACAGATGTATTCATAAAGGCCCTGCCATGTTGCAGTCAATCCATTTAACAATAATGTTGTTTTGGTTTAGTATTCATGCCTTCTGCTGTAACTATATTTATTTGCTGGGCTTTCTGTAGAATGAAGAGAAATAGATGAGAGGGAAAGAGATTGCCAAAGTTTGGGCAAGAATAATTCAACAACAGTTTCAATTCAACATACATTGATTAATGACCTGCTATATGCAAAGTACTTGCTAAGTGCTGTGGCTAGAAAGACAAAAATGCAGTCTTTGTCCTCAGGAAGATTACATTCTAATCAGGTGTCTTCACACATAGCATAAATATAGTCCAAGGAAAATGGAAATGGAGGAGAATACTAACAACAGGAAGGTTCATGGAAGGCTTTATGGAGGAGGTGGTATCTGAGTTGAGCCTTAAAAAAGAGGCCAGGAATTCTGAGAGGTTCGGATGAGAAAAGATGGCATGCTAGGCATGGAGGATGGCTTGAACAGAGGCACAGGGGTGGAAGTGGACCTAAGGTACCTCAAAATTCTTCACTCCCAGATGTCTCTAAACTCATTCTAGTTCTATTACAATATTTATTCCTTTCTGGTTTACACCAAAATTTCAATTATTCCAATTTTTCAAGTTCTGAAAATGAATGGATTTTTGTAACTAACTACTACATTAGCATAGTCATAAACCAAAAACATTTTAGAAAGGATGCCAACTAAGAAGGATGGACAATATCCATATAAAAACCCCACAAAGGTTTTATATGATGTCATACAACAGTTTTGCCACTCTGTATAGGAGGCAGCATGAAGTAGTGGCAAGAAGAACACTGACCTAGATCACCTTTCTGTGCCTTGATTTCCTTATCTGGAAAATGAAGGAGCTAAATTTAGATGATCCCTAAGATCCTTTCCATCTCCTTGCCCTCTGATTTTTTTAATTCTGTCTTGGTCGCTTAGCTGTGTTGACCTTCAATCTCCCAGTATGGAAGCATTTTTAATAATGTTTTTGTTGATGCCTTTGTCTTTGCATCAAGGTCTTTGCCCACACTCACATAGGTTAAACCTTCCCTTGTGAACAAAAAGAAAAAAAAAGAAAAGGAATTTCATATCTGCTAATGCATATACTATTCTCTTCTGGTAGTCCCCCACCTCTCTGCTTTGAGGGAAGAGATATGTTTCATTCTGTTCTCTGGAACCTTGATTAGCTTTGCAGTTACCCAAAGATCAACTTGTCACTCTCTTCATTTGTATTGTTGTAATCTGGCATTTTGTGCAATTAGTTCTACTTATTTTACTCTGTGTAAGTTTATACAAACCTTACCATGAATAAGTATTTACTAAGCTCCTACAGTGTGCTATACACTGAGGATATGGAAGCAAAAATGAAACAGTCCCTACCCTCAAGAACCCTGTACATCCATATACATACATACATACATCCATATAAGGAAATATAAAGCAATTCCAGAGGGCATTAGGAAAGGTCTAGGGTAGAAGATGGCACATGAATTGAGTTTTGAATAGAGCCAGTAATTTTAAGAGACAGAGGTGACAAGACAGTGCATTTCAGGAATGAGGGACAGCCTGTGCAAAGGTACGGAGATGGAAGAAGGGTATCATGTATAATGAAAAGCAAATAGGCTACTCTAGCTGGAACCTAGAAAAGGAATGGTATATGATGAGCCTAGAAAAATATGTTGGACATAGGGCAAGTCACTTCACCTTTCTGACCTCAGTTTCCCAATCTGTAAAATGAAGGGGGTGGACTAGATTGCCTCTGAGGTTTTTTCCATCTCTAACAATCTTTGAGTTTAATATGACTCACTTCAGGTTGCTAAAAAATGAATACAAACAATTCAGCTACCATCATTTGAAAGCAAGCTCTCTGATACCTCTTGGTTCAAATGAAAAATGTTAAAGATTCATTAGTTCTTTTGTCTTTTGTCTTATGCTATAGGGATATGTTCCCCTTTATGTCAATGCAACTGCAGGCACAACTGTGTATGGAGCTTTTGATCCGATACCTGAGATTGCAGATATATGTCACAAATACAACATTTGGCTGCATGTCGATGTAAGTGCTGGGACGCAAAAGACAGCCCAGATCTAGCTGGGTGAAGGAAATGGCTCTCCTTTTGGGGAACCCTGGCTGTTTCCAACCCCCCAGTTCTGTCCACAACTTCTTAGTCCCATGCTTTCCTCTGGTCCACAGCCTGACCAGTCTGGACAAATGTTGCCAAAGTTGCATCATAGACTGGTATTTCCTTAGGTTTCTCCGGCCCATTCCAAAGCTAGTTGAATTTTCTCTGGTTATACCTACCAACTTCTCCCATAGCAGCTTCATTTGGGTAAACTTCTCCTAGATGGCAAAAACATGAGAGAAGGGATAAAGGAAGTGGCCACACATGCTTGGTTACCTGCTGTCAACGCGACTGTTCATAGTCCCTTTGCTTAAAAAGATTGATCTAGAAACACAATGACATGGAAACACTTATATAATATCAACTGAGAGTTTTCCCTTCAATTGTTCTGAAGAGACATAAAGGACAACAGAGAACATTTTCAAGTATGTAACTATATTTCTTCTCTACTCTCCTCTGCCTTTCTTTCTTTGCCCCCCAGAGCTGTGCTGGTAAATATTTAACAACCAGCTCTCTTTAAGAAAAGTGTACAGGTGACCCACTTTAACATTTAATCTGCATTAACATGTTTCCATTGCTTTCTTAAGTCTAGACAGTCAACAAAACAATAAATCAAGTCCTAATTTGTAGCATTTGTTGATTTCCAAGGTGCAAATGCTCACACACTGAAAGTTTAACAATCTGGCTCTAGCATACCCCTAGTCATCTTGCTTCTCCTTCTTTCTCTCCCTCTCTACACACTCTTCTTTCCCTTCTTCCTTCCTCCTCCTCCCATTCTCACTCTAATTCTTGCTCTTTCTCTACCTTCTCTCTTTCTTTTCTCACTGTATCTCTCTGTATGCCTGTCTCTATCTGCTTATCTTTTTTAACCCCTTACACCTGGACTGTCTTTTCTGCTGTGAAGCAGATGACAAAACACAGATTACAAATACAATTCATTTCTGTCTCTCCCTGCTCTCCCCACCATCCCTAGTATTTTACATGGTTACCCTCAGAGAAGCATGGACATTTTGAGACTTGCTACAGTCTTTAGGGACCACTTGAGTGACAACCATACAAGTGGTATTTTAGGGACCACTTGAGTGACAGCCATACAAGTGGTATGTCAAGATATACCTCATTGCAGTGAAAGCTAGGAAACAGCCACCTTCAACTCTGCAGTGCTCCCCAAGTGATCCCTGACTCCAGCAGCAACCTAAGAGAGTCTTTGATCTTTACCTCGTCAGTATCCGATATCTTTGGACATCTGTGGTGCTACCGTAGACTTAGACCTTAACTAACCTGATCTCCCACCTGCCACGAACTAACTTGCATGACTGGAACCTGGGTTCACACTTTCCTCAGCGAAATCTTCTTTAAAAAATGGCAAAGATTAAAGCTTGTTGCCAGATGAAGGCTTCAGCAGGTTTATTTTGCCAAAGGAACTTCTGGGTCTCATCTTCCATATGAGCCCGCATGTTTAAAGAAAGCTAGAGAATGGCCAAGTAGCCTAGAAAAGAATTTGGAATCTTTACATGGAGTTGATTCCCTCATCCCTCTTCTTTCTCTGCTCTCACAGGCTGCCTGGGGAGGAGGTCTCCTCATGTCCAGAAAGCACCGTCACAAGCTCGATGGCATAGAAAGGTATGGGGCACAGTTTCCAGGAATCCTACCATTCAAAGTATCAGACAGGTACAATGTGGACCTCTGATTCAGGGTGGCACCTCCTTCGATTACCTTGCAGAATCAGTTATTTTTCTACATAGCTGGGAAATGCTCAGCTGCAGAGTTTGCAGTTTGCCATGTTCACTTGCTAATTCACTTCCCTTCTTTCTCTGCCTCATTGTTACTAGCTCCTTTGAGATAGAAATTGGGGAGGAGTTTGAGAGAACATCCCTCCCTCATGTATTACACCTTTTCTCCTCTCCAATTCAAGGCTGCTGGCAAAAAATGTAGCTTATGAATGGTGGAAAAAATCATAGCACTGGCCTCTCTTTCTGTTCCCTGTAGTGACTTCTCTGGCTTAAAGCCGTTTCTCCTGGCCATGTCCTAACTTTGTAAGGAAAGAACCACAGTAAATAAGGATGACCATTCAAAACACAAGTGGTCATGCAGGGAGGCCGCAGACAGGAGTCAAACCAGATGCAATTTAGATTTATCAAACAACTTATGGTTTTAAGTTTTTAATCTGGGAAAACCTGAAACATATTTTGACTCCAGGGATTTCTTCTTTAGTGTGAGTATATATGTGTGAATGTATGCATATATATGCATACAAACATATACTGTATGTGTATAGTATATTGTGTACATATACTGTATGTGTAGAGTATATGTTCAGTGTATATATACACATATGTATATACACACATTCACTAAAAAAGAAAATTCCTGGAGTCAAAATATTTTTCAGATTTTCTTAGATTCAAAATTTTAAATTGGAAATTTTTTTGAGAAATCAAAGAAATTCAACAACCATTTATTAAGGACCTACTATATGCAAAGCATTTTGCTAGAAGCGGGGGCTAGAGAGACAAAAATGAAGTCTTTGTCCTGGGGAGATTACATTTTATTCAGGCTTCACAACATGCACGGCACAAGCATGGCCAAAGGAAAATGGAGATAGAATAGAACATTAACAACAGGAGGGCTCATGGAAGACTTCATGGATGAATTGGCACCTGAGTTAAGAATTCTGAGAGGTGGAGATGAAGAAAGATGGCATGCTAGGCATGGAGAATGGCTTGGCTTATGTCAGGCATATACATATATGTTATGTATATGTTGTGTATATGTGTATATATAGGAATATATCATAGATTATGTATTATATATACATATACATACATATATATGTACATATAATACATAATCTATACACATACATAAATATGCAGCTAGATGATGCAGTGGATAGAAAGCCAGGCCTGGAGTCAGGAAGATCTGAGTTTAAATCTGACCTCAGACACTTACTAGCTTTGTGACCCTGGGCAAGTCACTTAACCCTGTTTGCCTCAGTTCCTCATCTGTAAAATGAACTGGAAAAGGAAATGGCAAACCACTCCAGTATCTTTACCAAGAAAACTCCCAATGAGATCACGAATAGTTGGACACTACTGAAATGACTGAACCCCAACAAAACAAAAACATATACATTAGCTTATGTTACCTAAAGAAAAATTAAACCTTGACTATATCTTCTTTTTTCTATTTGAAGCATAAATATGTTGTTTATTTAGAATCTGGGAAGTTCAGAAAAGTTTATGACATTTTGTGAGACAAATATAATTCCTTAAGAGTAGGACAATCTGTTGTGCAAAGAACGAATGGACTCTTGCCCTTTGAGTGACCCTTAGCCCATCTCCTTGGCTCTACGGCCCTTATGGCTTAAGCAGGGCTACTTTGACCCCTGGGGATGAGATGAAAATCCATTACTTGTCATCTGAATATTTTGCAAAGCACAGTAGATTTGCTTTCTTCATTACAATCTTTGGAGGAAGGAATTATTCAGTGTTTCTGTATTTATTCACATCATATCTACATTCTACAGACACAAATATATCTATTAAATACTTTCCCCACTAAAAGACCTCTGTAACAAAAGAAAGTTAAGAATTCTGAGTAAGGGGCATAGTATGGGAAGGTCAAACAAACATTTCTTTTTTTTTATTTTTAGGCAGTTGGGGTTAAGTGACTTGCCTAGCTAGTAAGTGTCAAGTGTTTGGTCTGAGGTCATATTTGAACTCAGGTCCTCCTGAATCCAGGGCCGGTGCTCTATCCACTGCACCACCTAGCTGCCCCTCAAATAAATATTTCAATGAAACTACTGATTAAAGGGGGGCAGAGTCCACCAGGTTCACCAGGGAATTTTTAATAAGCTTGGGTATCATTGAAGCAAGAGTGCCAAGGTTTTAATCATTATTTCACTTACGGATGTTGCAAAATCCTTGTTAAGGTGCTCTTTAATCACTTAATTGTCTTGGATAAGTGATTAGGATAGTAGGAGACCTTGCTTGTTAAACTATGGTTACAATGAAAATGGCAAGATCATGATCATTTAGCATTTAAATAACCTTGTTGTGCAGCAAAACTTTATGGTTGACTAGTCTATAGGCATTTTTAGGAATATCTCCTCATACCTCCCAGTAAGAGCAATTAATCAGGATGGTGCATAGAGCACTGGACCTGGAATCAAGAAGACCTGGTGTTCAAATCCAGCCTCAGACACAAACTGTGTGACCCTGGGCAAGTCACTTAACCTCTTTATTCCTTAGTTTTCTCATTTGTAAAATGGGGATAATAAAAGCATCTACCCCCCCCAGGGTTGTTGTGAGGGTCAAATGAGATGATATCCATAAAGCATCATATAGATGCCAGCTATTATAGGGAGGTAGACATGCAATTAGATCCATCACCAGCCCATTTTATGGATAAGTACAAGAAGGAAGGGTCTCTGAGTCACTTTCCTAGTAATAAGTGGCAAAGTATTTTGCTCACTGCACTGACACTGTGTTTACCGATCAAACATACACAAGCATGTTTATTCAACCAAACTAGGGTTGTGGGTGAAGAGTATATCAGCTTATGCATGTGCAGTGATGACTCCCAAAGAACATGATTTATTGTGCCCCACCGTATGCATCTTCTCTTATAAGTATCAATTTCTTCTTCTTCCAGAGCCAACTCAGTTACCTGGAACCCTCACAAGATGATGGGAGTTCTGTTACAATGCTCTGCCATTCTCGTGCGAGAAAAGGTTTGCTTTCTTTCAGCAAATGACTCTGAAGTACCAAAAGTTTTGGTAGCTGGAGAGAAGGGAAAGAAAGGGACTAGTGCTGGAGACAAAGCTAGGCAGCCATGCTGCTGTCCTTCCCAGACATGAATTTTTGAGGTTCTTGAACAAAAATCTGTCTGCACTGGGATCAGGACCAGGTTTTGCAGACATCAATAACCTATTACTAATCAATCTACAAACATTTATTAAGTGCCTGCTCTGTGGCAGGCACTGGAAATATGACAAATGTGAAACACTCCCTGTCCTCAAAGAGCTTACATTCTAATGTGGGAGATAGCGTGTGTGTGTGTGTGTGTGTGTGTGTGTGTGTGTGTGTGTGTGTGTGTGTGTACAGAGAAAGAAAGAGAAGGGATGAAAGGGAGAGAAAGAGAGAGAATATATCTAAAAAGAATATAATGTTTTAGGGAGGGAGGGCAACATATGAGAAGATCAGAAAAGGCATCATGTGCAAGGTGACATTTGGGCCAAATGTTGAAAGACACCAAGGATTCTGAAACGAAGAGTGGAGGAGAGATGGTATTATAGACATGGGCCAGTACAAAGACTCAGAAATAGAAGATGAGACAGTATGTGTGTGTCAAACAGCAAGGAGGCCCATGTAGCTAGACTCCAGAAAACATGGAAGGGAATGCTGTGTAAAAAGACTGGAAAGTTTGGAAGTGGCCAGATTATGAAGAGATATGTGCCAAACAGATGAGTTTATATTAGCTCTGGACTGCTTGCTGGCAGTCACTGGCCTTCTTGTTCAATATCCATAGTTGTACTGACGACTGAGTATTTGGTATAAAGGTTATTTAAAATCTCTATGTCCAAGAGGGCAGAAGTGAGAAAGAAAAGGTGATAACCCTACCTGATGAGGTAACTTCCTACGCTAAAAACCTTTAGCTGCAAGTTATTAGCATGGACTTATGTTTCTGTGAAAGAAACCAGAAAATTAGAAATAGGGAAAAAGGGGAAAAAAAGAAATTTACATGATAACTATTATATATTTAAAAGGAATAGCAAGTTATATATAATATATTTGCAGTTTCATGTGCGATCATCTTATTTATTATGCCATGGAAATTATGGAAATGCTTGTTTTATTCCATAAATTAAAAATTAAATAAATTAAATTTAAAAAAGGAAAAAAATAGGCTGGTCCTAAAGCACAAAATAAAACTGTTATTATTTTTTTGTTTTTTAAATTATTAGTTTTTAATCTGACTCCAGAGGCTATGTTCTGATGACAGTTTCTATAGAGGAAGAGGAAGTCAGAGGAAGTCAGTCTGCATTATACTTCTCTCAAGAGTAACCTTCCCCTTAGTAGGACAAACAGCATAGAGTAGCTTAACAATACTATTAGCTGGGGGGAAAAAAAAGCTCTGTGTCATCCCAAGTCCTCTCCCCTTCGTGCATCCAGTTATGTTTTAGAAAATCAGCAATACAATATGCAAATACTTCTCTGTTTCCACCCCTAGGGCATACTCCAAGGATGCAATCAGATGTGTGCAGGGTACCTATTCCAGCAAGATAAGCAGTATGACATTTCCTATGACACTGGAGATAAAGCCATACAGTGTGGCCGCCATGTGGACATTTTCAAGTTTTGGTTGATGTGGAAAGCTAAGGTAAGCAAGCAGGGGATCCAGGAAGTAGGATAGAAATGCTTTTAATTCCTAAGTTCTGAGGGCATGGTAGGTAACATTAAGCTGGGGGAGGTAGCCTTCAGGCCACTCACCTGCCATTAACATTTATCACAGGTAATTGGCAAAGTGGATAATCCATAAAACTGGGACCAGCCAGCCAGTTTGAAGAATGTAGATTTTTGGCCATGTGGAACCCCACACAGTCTTGTTAGTCAACCCCAAATCAGCCCTTCTGAGAGCTTATCTATTCTCTTTGTTAACACCAACCCATGCAAACACTTTGTACTTCTGCTTAACTCTCAAAGCTTGTGCTTGTGACTAGTCTGACGAGTTGTCAATACTTGGATACTGTCAATACTTGGAGCCAATGAAATATCTGACACTCCTGCTAAGCCAGGGAATGCACAAAGACCAGTGTCTCTCTCCCACCTGCCTACTGATCAAGAGAAAAGTATGACAGCAATTAGAAATGCTGCTTGGGTAGGGTGGGAGCAAGGGGTGTTTGGTCAGGGTTCACTTTCAAGTTCAAGGTGGAGGGATATGTGGCAGGGTCCAAAGCAAACAGGACTTCAGACTGAAAGTACTGGGCAGTGGAATTTTTTGGAAGATAAAATCTCAAAGGTCAGAAGGTCAGATTTTTTATGGGGGGTTCTCCTTAACTGTTTAATTATTTTAAAAAATAATATTTTGCCTTCTGACAAATGAAGGTAATCACACAATGCTTGTGTTCACACTCCGGGACTTTTGTTTTAAAGACTTCAAGTACTAAAGATACTTCAGGTGGGATGTTGGACTGTGACCTCTGAAGTTCCTCTGACTCTAAGATTGAATTATCTTAATACATAAATAGGGAGATGATATATTTCTATTAATATCTCTCTTCCTTTGAAAACAGGGCACAGTGGGATTTGAAAATCAGGTCAACAAATGCTTGGATTTGGCAGAGTATCTCTATGCCAAAATTAAAAACAGAGAAGAATTTGAAATGGTTTTTGATGGCGAGGTAAGTCTTTACAGTCTATCCTAACTATAAATAGCATGTGTTGAGGGCTTTTGTTTTGTTGAGTGTTTCCACTAGTGATTATTGTGAGGCCATGTTTGTCCAGTGTGCCAGGTATTGCACTCTGAACAGTCTTTTAAGTTTTCATCATTGGTATTTATCCCACAAGAATACTACTGTCCCAGACATCTTGGATGTGTTTTTTTTAAATGATGTTGTTTTGGTTGACCCAGAATTCAAATTGGAAGTGGCATCATTAGACACACTAGCACATTTACAAACAGTTTTTCCTCTTAGGGATGGGTTCAGTGATTACTTAGCCTGGCCTATCTACCTTTGGGAAAGAGTGCATAGAAACCATCTAGGACAGCTGTGAAACTGACCTATTTCCCTATTCTTCAAGGGCTCTGGGAAAAGGCAGCTGATATCTTTCCTTGCTAGTAGTAATCATCTCTCCTAATCTCTACAATCAGGAATTCATCTCTAACTCAAATCCTTACTTCTGCAGGATAGATCTAATTTTCCCCGCCTCCTTTCCTTAGGAGTCTAGCTTCTGAAATTAACCCTTTACAAACCTTTTTTTTTTTTTAGTTTTAAATTTTATGACCATCTTTTTTTCCTCTGACATATACCTTTATTTCTAAACATACCCCTCTCCTATCCAGAAAATAACAAAGACTAAAAAGAATCATAGTCAGCAAAACTTACATATTGAATGATTCTGGCAGATTTTGCAATGTTCTGCACCCACAGGTCCCGACCTCTACAGAGAAAGGAGGGAGGCACGTCTTCTCTTCTTTGGGACAAACCTTGGTTATTATAATGAATATTATTCTTAAAATACCTTCAAATAATCCAAGGTACAAATGTGAACTCTGTCTCTCTCCAAAACAAATTCTCAGAAAGATAACTATTTAACAATCATTTAAGCCCATCTTCCAGAGGGAAAGTGACTCTCTGTCAAGTTGCCATGGACATGAGGGGGATGAAATTCAGCTGCCAACACCATTCTTAATACTTGCTATTGTGAGTTCAAAGCAGTTTCCCCTACAAGGTCCGAACAACAAAATGACTACCATAAATAGTAAAATCTGTGAGAGGAGTTCAAGAAAAGAAATCCCGTTCAAATTTCATCCAGGTTGTAGAAGAGCATAGAATAAGCATGTACTAATCAGTAAGAATGTTGACTACTCATTATAGAAACATAAGACTGGGAAGGCCCCCAAAAAGGTCACCTCCTCTCCCCCTCTGCTTCCAGACTGTGTTGGATTCAATATTCTTTACCCAAAGAGCTGCCTACCCCCTCCATAAAATATTTTAAAGGCAATTACACAAACTCCCTTTGTAATGCTTCCACTATTGGTCCAATGAGTTCGTCATCTAACTCAGCCTCTGGTAGAATCAAGACTTCAGGCCCCTCTTACTTTGTTGTGCTTCTAGACTGTTTGGCATCTCTGCCAAAGCTTGGGGGAAGTCTAGGCGTTGCTAACCTGAAGAAATTATGGGCGTATATGTTCTCGTGGGAAAGAATGTTTTCTTTAGGCAAGACCCTGGGAAGCACCTACTCATCTTGTAGTGCTTGTTCTTCGAATGTTTTAATCACAACTTGGTCATTATGTTGATTAACTATACCCTCATCAGTCTCCCAACTTTGTACATCTCTCTCCCAGCATTCTACTATCCCCCATTCATCTTTTAACTCTGGGCCACTCCTAATTTATCTCTTGTTTTTTCAACCTAGTTGTAAAGCTATATATTGGTGAAGGATACTCCATTGGGGAGGAAATGGACTTGGCTATGAGACTCATTTTTGTGTCCGTGGTCCAGTTCTCCCTTTTTGTACATGAGTAATAAAAATGCCTTGGCTAATTCAGAAAAATGCAGAGTATTGAATTTATTCTTTAATGATCTTATTTGTCATTGAGTTGACTTGGGTATTGTCAAAAATTCCACCACATACATACAAATAGATGCAGATATGTACATATGTTTGTGTATATGTGTGTGTTGTCTCTCATTATACCACGCCTTTGATTATAGTACAGATCAAATCACGTGCACAAGTACATAGTAGTACATTGTACATTCTTCACTATAGCTCAGACTGTTTATTGGGGATGTTATATGTGTCCTCTGATATCAACTTTAAAATGAGGTTTTACTATGGCCCTCTGAAGAGAATAAGATAAAAGCTAAGTTTAACCTGAACATAGACCAACATCATGCAGATTAAAATTTGGAATGTATGTTAATTGGGATCATTTTCTAGGAAATGAAAATTTCACAACCAAATACAGTTAGGCAATAAGTGTTTATCTGGAAGATATTAAAAAAAAACCTTAACTATAAAATCTCTAAGAATATTTAGAACTCTGAATACCCAAAGGAGATCACAAAACCTATACTCTTAAGCTCTTACACTTTAAAATGTTTCACTAACTATTTGCATTTTTTACACACCACAATCATTTCCCAATAAACCACCTCCCCCATAGAGCCCTCCTTTATAATGAAGAAATGAAATTCAGTGAAACCAACAAACATAATGTATTCAAACATTCTACACCTGTAGTCCACCACCTTACCTCCAAGAGGAGAAAAATGTTTCATCATCAGTCTTCTGGAACTAAAATTAGTCATGGAATTTAACATGAATTTTGATAGTATTGTCTTAATTTAATTTAAATTTTATTTAATTACTGTAATCTTTGTGCATTTTCTTTTCCTGGCTCTGCTTTCTTCACTGTGTGTCAGTTCATACAAGTCTCTGCTGATTTTTATGAATTCCTTATAATCATTGTTTTTTGCAGTGCAATAACATCCAATTATATCCACAAACTACAGTTTGTTCAGTCATTCCCCAATCTATGGGCACCTACTTGGTTTTCAGGGGTTTTTTGATTTTTTACTACTACAAGAAGTGATGCTATGACTATTTTGGTATAAATGTGGCCTTTCTTTTTGTCACTGATATTCTTGCACTACTGGGATTATTGTCCAGGAATAGGATTCCTGGGTCAGAGAGTATGAATAGTTCTAAAAGTTTTCTTATGTAATTTCAAATCGATTTTCATAATGGTTGGACCAATTCGCTGCTCAACCAACAATGTATTAGTACACCTGATTTAGCAGAGTTCCTCCAGTATTGACTATGTAACAGGGGTACATAGGTCACCAACTTCTGCTCACCCATTCCCTCATTTTATCTCGCCATCCTAAAATGTAGGATGATCCAGAAGCATATTTGTATATTTTCTCATGAATTAAAAAAAATTTCCACCTATTTCCTAATTAATTAAGTCTTCTTAGAGCTTCCACCCAGGTTCATCAAATATTATTTGTTTATTAAACTATTGAAAGTTATTTTCTCTATAAGTAATTATTTAAAGCTCTCTCTATATTAAATCCTATAATCTCCTAGAATTAAATATTAGGGTTACTAAGCATTTATAATTAATAATATAGTTTAGTAGCAATAAAGTCAATAATAAAACAAAGACATGGGTAATTATTTATAGTAATTAGCTGTGAGAAACACCACGAACAGAGTCTTCTTAAACCCTAGCTATGATGACATATGACCTCACTTCTGAGAGCATAGTCCATACCATTTAGTATTCTTAGAAAAACAAATCTCTTCAAAAGAATTCATTTCATCCTCTTTGTAAGGCAATATTTACAAAAATTTCATAAAGAAAGATGTCTCCATCTTCTTTCTTCTTGGGCTGTCTCAGATGTGACAGAAAAAATGGCATTTTTAGCTTTTATCAAATTTTCATTCTTAACAGTATCTCTCCATGCTGACTCTTCATAAAAATTTTTAATTAATGTTTCCTCATAAAATAATAGTTAAGACAGTTCTCTCAAGAAAGAAGTCTCTCCTTATCTTCCTTCTCTTGGTTTTCAGCACAATTTCTCATAGATTCTCATAAATCAGTTAAACTCACACATTCTCCCTGATTCCATAGAGTGAAGCTGCCATTGAGTTACAGTTGTAATTATAACTCAGCTTTTCTGATTTTAAAGAGACAGTAACAGCTTCTATGTTCCCCATCAGAGAGGCTTTTGAAACAGGGTTTTAAACTGATTCTTTTATCTTCTTTGCCAATTTGATGAATGTAAGTTAAAAACTCAAAATTGTTGTAATTGCATTTGTCTCATTATTAGTTATTTGGAGCATTATTTTATATGCCTGTTAATGGTTTATATTTCTTCTTTTGAAAATTATTATTTTTGGCCACTTATTTATTGGGGAATAACTCTTAGTTGCTGCATTTTACTCATAGGAGAGTCTCTCAGACCATCACTAAGAGACTATTTACTTTTTTATATATAATATTTATACATACCATATTTTAACAAGTCTCCCAATTTATGAGACCACTGCAAATTAGAAGGAAAAGGAAAAACTTCAGGGGGAAGACATATTGACAGCAGGGAGAAGTGACAATTGACAATGTGAGAGAGGACAGAAAAACTGTGATAAACAAAAAGAGAAGAACTAAGAAAAAACCCACAGTAGTCATGAGGTCATGTAATGAAGAGTAGAAAACTCCAAGTACTCCAGTGGTCCCTGAGGACATCACTGTATTAAACCACAACATAAAAATGCATGCTCATAAATAGGATTCTGAGTCAGAGGCATGCTGGAACCAGCTTGAATTATCAAGAGAGTCAATTGTTAAATTTTCAGTGTAAACACATCAGAAATGGGTTAACTCTACAAATCAGGGCATGATTTATTGTTTTCTTGACTATCTAGACTTTAAAAAGTGATGGAAAATGCAAATAATGAAGATTAAGCTTAAAAGTGAGTCATGTGTACTCTTTTTTTTTTTTTTTTGGTGAGCCAGTTGTCAAACATTTACCATCACGCTCACATTCTAAGTCATCAAGAAAAGGTTCAAATATGTTAATTGTAAATTAAGTGAAATCTACAAATATTTATTGAATACCTACTACACAGAGGGAACTAGAGAGCAGGGAAGTATATCAAACTTTTAGAAAAGGTTTTCAAGAAATCTATGTGCATACAATTGTCATGCATATATTTTAAATTTAATTGCTTGAAGGGAAAATTCTCATATATGGAATGTCTTATTCCCTGGTTTTGCATAATGATATCAAGTGTTACTCTACTTAGCACATAGCAACATTTATTCAAACGTCATGCTATTAGAAATCTGAAAGGTTTGTCTTCGCAGATCCTCCCACTTCATATATGACTTTAAGTAAGAATTTGGGGTTGGGGAAAACCTTTCCTCAGTTTTTCATATTCTTTACTGCATCATTGTTTTTGTCTCCACAGCCTGAGCACACAAATGTTTGCTTCTGGTACATTCCACAAAGCCTCAGGGGTGTCCCGGACAGTGATGAGAGACGAGAAAAACTTCACAGGGTATGGAGTATATCCAATCTATCATCTACCCCTCAGCATTCTCTCTGGCAGCCTAGAGTTAGCTTGTTCTCATATGATGGTTTGGCTCATCTTCATCGAAGATTTTTGAATAATTCAGTTTTCTTCTTTGAGTTATCCTTGTCACAAGGGAACTTAATCTTTGTTTTAAGGTCAGCTCAACTCTGTAGCTTTAGTAAGGCATCAGTCTCAGTATTCATGGGAGTCCCACTTGGAACATAGCCAGGATTCATCTTTCCACATCTGTAAAATGGGCTAGAGAAAGAAATGACAAACCACTCCACTATCTTTACCAAGAAAACCCCAAATGGGGGTCACAAAGAGTTGGACATGACTGAAAAAGACTGAACAATAACAACAAAAGGGAATGAGAGGAACGTTTGATGGAAACTTGGCTCAGTGTTTGAATTTTCAATTACTTATCAAAAAAGAATTGCATATCTAGTTGAGAACATTGCTTGAACCTGTAAGTACAACCACAGAGCAAACAATCCAGCCCTCTATTCAAATAGTTTCTATAGCAGAATAGGAATGAAATTCTGCTTTTAGTTGGATTGAATCTGCTCCTCAAGGTCATAATTGTTCTGGTCACGTCTTTTATATATTACCATTTCCTTTCTAGTGGATCACTTTGCTTATAATAAACAGAGTAGTCTCTCAAGCTTTGAGGACTAGAGTTGTTGAAGAGGTATAACAAGTAGTGAAGCAGCTAACTAAAATTTAAAAGGCAGCATCTAACACTAAAACTCAAACGCTAAAATGAACCGAAGAGTTTTGACCTTTACCTCAAAAATCTAATGAGCCCTGGAAATGTTTCTCTCTCCCTATATCTGCCTCTCTCTTCCTCTTTCTTTCCCTTCCCTTCTTCCTCTTTGTCTCTCTCTTCTGTGTGTATGCATATATGTATCCATATATGTATGTATACACATATACGTATGTGTGTATGTATGTATGTATAGTTGTCTGACCCTTGTTTTCCCTCTCTATCTCTTTCTCTCGCTTGCTTCTATTCTCTCAATGTCTGTATCTATAGCTATGTCTGTTCCTTCCTTTCCCTCCATCTTTTTCTCACTCTCATTTTTTCTATTTTTTCTCAGTGTATGTTTCTCTCCCTCTGTCTCCTCTTTCATCTCACTTTCTCTTTCCCTCCCTATCTTCTTACTTTTCCCTTACTTTTCTTCTGTTTTTCACTTTTTTCTACATTTAACAGACCACAACCTAAAACTAAAGGTATTTTTAGTATTTGTTGTGCTCAGTGAACAAAGTTTTATGTTCCCTGTTTTTAATTTAAATGGTAGATGAGTTGAAGTATTTTTATTCCTTTAAGAAAACATTCACCACAAATTAAATTGCTTTTTCTATGTAGCCAAGAATTTATTTTTTTGCAGGTAAATGGCCTGTGAGAATATTCTCACACTTTGTCTACATGATGTCATAACCAGTATTCAGTTCAGTGAGGCACTTCCATTGCCATTGAAAACAAAACAGAACAAAATCAGATGTTAAGACTAACTGGATTTTTTGTTTCTCAACTCACTATTTGGCATTAGATAGTCACAGCTTCAGAGTGCAAAGGCTTTGAAGGGCAGTAAAACCAGGGTCTGTTAAACTTAAAATGTCATAGAGTGGCCCTTTGAAGACAATGACTTTTATACCAAGAATATTCATGGGTCATAAGTGCCTTGAAGTAAGTAAGAGAAGGGAAAGTCAGTCTCTATGTCTGGATTCCTACAGTATTTAAACAAAGCAAATCATAAATTAGCCCTCGGTGTCATTGCTGGGATGAAGCAAACACCAGTGGAACCATTGACCTATGACCAGGGAAGGAATAAAATGTAGAAGAGTATACATAAGATGGAAAAAGAAACAGAGTAAGAAAGTAGAAGAAGGGGGTGAGAAGAAGGAAAAAGAAGAAAAGAATGAGGTCTCTATAATGGAAAGTAGTTGAGTTCCACTGGCACCTTCATGATAGTGAATTTCAATAAATGTTCTTATTTTCCAAATTTGCCAACCAAGAATATAATTCAGATGTATGCTTAGATAATGTAGATTGTCTATAAGTTCCAGGTAGGGAAATAGATATAACTGAAAAGATAGACCAATTTGATGAGGTTAAAATATGGTATGTCATTCTCTTCTTAAAAAAAAAGTTCATCTAACCCAGGGGTTGGGAACCTGAGGCCTTGAGGCCACATGTGGCCTTCTAGGTCCTTGGGTGCTGTCTTTTGACTAAGTCCAAATTTTACAGAACAAATCCTTTTAAGGGGATTTGTTCTGTGAAGTTTGGATTCGGTCAAAGGGCTGCACTTGGCCTCAAGGCTGCAGGTTCCCCACCCCTGACCTAACCTAAAATAGGATAACTAGGTGGCACAGTAGATAGAGTGCCAGGCCTGAGTTCAAATCCACGCTCAAACACTTACTAGCTGTGTGACGTTGGGCAAGTGACTTACCCCTGATTGCCTCAGTTTCCAAGCCCAGTGCTCTGTCCACGGTACCACCTAGCTGCCCTGATAACCTCTTAGGTCCATTCTAGATCCAGCTTTATGGTCCTATATAGCTGGGTAATTCAGTGGATAGTATACTGTACTGGGTGGGGCATCAGGAAGACCTGAGTTCAAATCCTGCCTCTGACACTTACTAGCAGTGTGACTGTGAGCAAATTATTTAACTTTTGTTTGCTTCACTTTCCTCATCTGTAAAAGGAGGCAGATGGACTCAATAGTCCCTAAGGTCCCTTCCAGCTCTAAATCTATAATTGCTCAGCAGATTCTTTTTCTTTTTTAAACCATACCAGAGTGACTAGCAGCCCTGTCTCTTTCTTCTGAATTTATGGTAAAAATGGGTCTGCTAAAGCATGGTAAAAAAAAAATCAACTTTTCTGGAAGTCAACAAAACCCTGGAACCTGAGCCGAAAGTGGCTGGAAATTATGGTAGTCAAACCATGTACTTGAGATGGTATATAGGGCTGGGACTAGTTTTCTTGAGCCTTCTGAAAGCTGGGGCTCTTTACACACACACACACACACACACACACACACACACACACACACACACA